GTGAACTGTCTAAAATTGATGTGTTCATCCACCACAAAAAACAAAATTAGTGACAAAGTTCGTGTTTTGAGCGATTGTTCATGAACAAAACCGATCGAAAATACCAAATTTAAGCTAGATCTTATTTATATCTGATAATCAAAACAATTGAAAAAACAGTTGAAAAAATCCGAGACCACACCATTGTGTATTCGGTGAAGCTTACTTACCACACACGTATTAGGCGCAATCTACAAATTATCCCCAACGACAGAAACGCGTCTGGGAAAACCATGTATTACAAACGCGTCTGGGAAAGCGATCGTCTAATTATCGTGCCTCATGAATATTAATAAGCTAGTCCGAATATGTCCCAGATGCGTCTAAACGGGTTTGTGCTGTTGAACGCGTTTGCCATTGTTTCTATTGTTTTGGGCGATTGAAACGCGTCTGTGTCGTTAGACCAGGCCCCGGTTGAACTACCGTTTTTGTACAAGTTTTTTTTTACTTTGAAATGAACCAAGTTCAAAGTTTAAAGGCTGCATAGTCCTAATAGTTAAATTAAGTGGTAATGACGATAATGGCAGCACATGCATGTAGGCCTATTTGCCGTTTGCTCTGTCAGAAAGACCTATCTTCGTTAAATAGCAGCCTACCTGCTAAGAAGTTGACGACGAACGAAAAAACATTTACCAACTCCCTGCACACATATCACATGGGAACACAAATGGACGCCAGTATTCGCCAAACATCATTCAATAAACAAAGAGAAAATAGAAAATCTATTTTCTCTATTATTAAACGTAGGCATCAATATATATTATATACAGCAACTAGGCCTATGCAACTACTGTACAATTAATATTGGGTACCTCGTGTGTGTGGATGTGATCGGTCCAACAGAGTACGCAACATCACGTGACAAATGTCACTGACTGTGTGGCCGGTGTTGATCTATAGATGGAGGAAAGAACTTTCCCCCTTGGTCTATAGAAATTCGCTTTGAGCGCCGCTCTGACAGAAGTGGGGAAGTTGAGATGCTAACAATAGGACGTTCGATGGAGTGCCTGGATGCCAGTTTAAAGTATGGCCTTGTCTGCTTGCCGGGCGGAGACTTCTGTATAGTTTTTTTTAAATCTTGCATAAAACTTGTTTCGTATTTTATATATTTTAAATTGGTTAGGCCTACTGTTATTTTATGTGTGGAAGCTGTTTATTGGCTTATGTTAAATAAAAATAATATTGAGTGTTAAAGGCCTATGTTAATAGGCTCTGTCTCTTATACACATCTAAATATAAATAAAACATACAAGTGAATGTTCGTGTACCGTTGTATTTCATTAATAGGCCTAATTAGGTGCTAATTCTTAACTGACCCAAACAAACATGTAGTGTACAGAAAACAGCTAGTATTTAATTCTTATATTCGGACATTTATTTATCCATAGACAAAAAATACAAATATATGCTGTATACACATGCTACAGGCCGCTTTAAATACACGAGTCTAGGATTCGGGGCTAGATTCTTATAGATAAAAGTTAAACTATGATAGTAAAACTATCCCCCGCCGGACACCATCCCGGTATATAAGTTAAGTTGAAGGAAATGAAATAAATATTTACACTGTTTTAATATTTGCCTCGTGATTTTTTGTCGAAGACATCGTATCCCCGTCTCCAAATCCTGCCGCTACCGGTCCCGTTCAGAAATAAAATCAATTCACTTTGTTTCATATCGATATTCTTACTTTGTCATGAACGGAATTAAACTATATGAAATAGGCATATACCACCGGTTTGCATTACTGCAAATTGCCTAGTAACAGTGAATTCAGTGAGAAACGTTCCCACGATCAGGAGAAGCATGAGAGAAGCAGACACACGGTCAATCACATACAGTAGTCTTCTCTTTAAACGCCGCCAACTCAGGAATGTAGACGCTCTAGTGGCTGATCTGATTCTTTGAACGCCGCCTTCAGGAATGTAAACGCGCTGATCCTCCGCAAGAAGGGAATAGCCGACTGCCTTGTTCAGCAATATAAGCATGTGCCATGGTTTAACCATTTGTAAAACATAATAATATATATATATATATAATAATACAAACATGTATTAATTCATATAGCCTACAAAGTAAAACACAATGCCGTAGCATACGTTGTTCTACGTGCGATATCACATGATCGCCACAACGAACTTCTTCAACTGCGGCTGATCCAGGTCAGTGTTTACATGCTGTATTGTGCGGGCTGTGCAGACACATGGGAATTAGAAAGTTGGGCAAAAGGTACTTGTTTTGATAGGTCAATTCAAACATCGCACAATATAATCTGGGTAGCAAGGTTACTGGCGATTGCTTTCTCTTCTATAAAACCTACAGGTAACGGTAGGGCCTAGCCTACTAAAATACAAGAAACATTGGGGTTTCCCTAACAAGAAAAATAATTAAATTTAGGCCTTTATTATAAACATTTCTTCGTGAACTGTCACCTAGCGTAGGCTAGCATTTTACTACCAGGCTACTACTTATAAATATAGGCCTAGGCCTACATAGCCTAGGTACGGACACTGAACAAGTTTTGAAGTTGTTTAAATCACGATCAAATTCAAAATTTCGTTGAACGCGTTTAACATTTTGCCATTCACGAGCAGTCAGCCATATGAAAAGGGGAGGAGTTAACTTCCAAACGGAATAAACGGCTCGAACGACAAGCTTCCAAACGGCATTTCACAGACGCGTTTGGGAGCTTGTCATATAACAATAGTAAACGTGTTTGACCCGTTTCTGTCGTTGGGGATAATTTGTAGATCACGCCTTAATCACTAATCACTACCACTTAAAACCAAATTTAAACCCCGCTGCAAAAATGGATGGTTCCAGTTTGCCCACTGCTGCACGTGTTCCGCTGCTGTCGCACTGCACCGCAGGGTAGAGAGCCTGCAGCAGGCATAGTTCGTGATCAAAGATCAAATATACAATTAAAACTAGCAGATTGTTTTTAATTTGACGAGTTTATTCTCTTTACCCAAATTTTAATATTCAACCAAATATCCATCTTTCGATTCTGAGGACCTAGAATAGAACTTACAGTAGGCTAGAAGATGAATCATCTGTACGTATGTAGACCCCGGTGAGAGAAACATAGCCGCTGTCGTGCGCTTGCGAGATAATAAATATGGACAGGCCAGACTCGATTTAATATTTTGGCCAGCATATGTAACACCAATTTACCTTAGCATTTTAAGTAGGTTTATGATTATTGTCCATGTACCTTCAAGGTTACGATCTTTAGAGAACTGATAAAATGTTGATGCATCTTTTTAGCCTAGCCCCGGTCCCTAGGCATGGTCCTAGTGTGATCGCGAAAAGCGCTCAACAGAACAATGGAGGTTGAATTTTAGTTCAATTATCATTTATATTTTAAATAATAATATTAGAATCTGACATTTATTTTTACTTTCTACTCAAATTTATTGTATAATCGAAGCACATATCTTTTTTGAGATGACGTTTTCAAAGGCTGTTGAAATAGTTCGATTTTTCCATTTTTGAAACGCACAAAAAATCGGCATGAAATAGCAACTGACCATACTGGCCATTAAATAAAAAAAACGACATTAAGGAATGACCCAGAAAAAAAGACGCACGTGAAGCTCCATAAGATCTTGAGGTTTTGTGAAAATTAGACATTTTATGTTATTACTTTCAAAGTTATGTCCCTCCAAAAATGCTCCAAAATCAGTCTGGATAAAGGACCCACTTTTTCGCATTTGGACCCCCTTTTTTCACCATATTTATAAAGGGGAAAATGATCAGTGCAGTGAGTTCTGTAGATCTAATGTTTACAAAATTCAAAATAATGAAATTGAATTTTCTCATTCGGATACCTATTAAAAGTCATTAAAAGACAATTCAGAAGTCGAGAAACACTAATTTCCCGCCACCTAGGAATCAAAATTTTGTTGGGAAGAACCCTGGACCCTCCTTTCTCTTTTGGGGTGTATCGATTAATGGAAAAAAGAATATGTATGTAACTACTTTAATGTTCTTCATGTATATACAGTAAGTTACACATAACAGCCCTATTTACTGTAGTAAGAATGAAAAAGTTTACCTGACCATTGTCAAGAGGGGAAAACCTTTCATTTTGAAGAACTTTAAAGAGACACCTCAAGTCAGGAAAGCTCATTTCCCACCATCTAGGACCCCCTCCCCCTTCTTTCTTTTTGAGGTTTTTGGGAAAAATTTTGATCCCCCTTCCCCACAAATTGAACCCAGGTTCGCACTTGTAGAGGGAAGAAATAGGAGAGGGAGTGGAAAGAGAGTGTTATCCAGTCCCTGACCGAGTTACATTTTCAGCTATGAAAAATAAGCCCGTCAAACTGTACTAAAATTTCTAAAACTCCAGGCTCAGGATTTATCAATCTCAGCTTAGCAAACGTCCAAAGTCAAAAAAGTTAAGATGTCCCTAGCAATTATCTAAGCTGATTTATCAAACCAAAATCTATCTTAGCAAAATCTTGGCTTAAATGTTGTCTTAGATGGCGCATGCGTACAATCGACTCTTTAATTTTAAGCAATTTTTATGCTAAGCAATATTGATAAATTTGGCTTTAGCAAAAAAAAATGGCCTTAAGGCGAATTTAAACATATTTCTAGTTTGGTAAATCTGGCCCCCAGAGCTTTAGGCAATACTTTTTTGATACCTTACTTAGGAAACCCTCTGCCAGCCGAAAATAAAAATTTGAATTAAAAATAAAATTGTATTTTCGACCAGTTAGCACACTTGCTGCCATGAATAATTGGGAAATTAAGAAAAAAAATTTACCTGAAATTTACCAGAATTTTACCAGAAAGAAATATGAATATATATTTTTTATTTTTTTTAAATTTTTTTTTTTATTTTGTAGAATTACAATTTATATTTAATGTTTGTAAATTCTCATTAATATACATTTAAATTAAATATCAGTCTTTCTAATTTTGGTTATTTGATGAATGTATGTATTTAATTTCAGTAAAAATTTTGTAGAAGGCTGAACATTGCAATATGCACTTCTGAAGATCTCATCAAACCAGTGGACTCATCCTGCTCAGCTCAATGACTATAATGTTGCTTATCTTGTTTCATGCTCGTTAATTCTGCTGAATGGTGAGTGAAAAAACTTGTTCTTATTATGAATTTCATGTCTGTGGTAAAATGCTTTGTGGGATAACATTTCACCTGGTTCAACACCAAGAATAAAAATTATAATTTTAATATTACAACACAAAAACTCTAATTTAATTATTTTAAAATAAATTTTAAAAGTTTTCATAAAGTAATGTTTTCATTGAAAATTAATATAAATAACAGGGTAATATAATTTGAAAAATCAAAATAATAAAATTATTTCATTTATGTCAATAATATGACAAAATAATGAACAAATAAGTGATTTTCTAATTAGTATTAAATTCCAAATGACCATTCTAATTTTGTAAAAACAACATATTCTGATAAAATAATAAGATAGAAATAAAGATTAAATATATAGCCTATTTTTATATAATAAAACACACCGTATTTGGGGAACCCCCCGCCAGCCGAAAATAAAGATTTGAATTAAAAATAAAATTGTATTTTCGACCAGTTAGCACACTTGCTGCCATGAATAATTGGGAAATGAAGAAAAAAATTAAATTTTTATTTTTATTTTGCCCGCTGCCTGTAGAATTTTACTAGAAAGAAATATGAATATATATTTTTTCATTATTTGATAAATAAAAGCATTTAAAAGATCGAAGCAAACTTGCAACACAGTATTGTGTAGGCCTACAATTGATCACAACACACACACAAGGTGTGCTAGCACGATTTTATCTGCCTCTCTTTCAATTCGTTTTCCTAAACTTTTATAATAATAATAATAATAATAATAATAATAGTGTAGTTTTATATAGCAAATAACTAAATTACTTTTGGCAGGATAATTCTGCTGAATTAAAAAATATTTTTTATTTACATTTTTTTCCCGTCCGCTGCTGAACACTTAAAACATTAGGTACGTTAAACAAGGTATTAAAATAGTATCGCCTGGTATAGGCCAATACCTGATTTTCATCAAAAACTGTGCAGACAGCCCTTATTTTCCATAATGTTTGTTCGGATTTCTAGGCTCAATTTATTCCCCCATGCAAGCCTTATTTTACAGTCAGGAATATGGGAAAGAAAAAAGACCTTTGTATGAGCTGGCATACCGTAATGTATTTTAACTGTCGGGTGTATACATGTGAAACGTAAGGAGATAACGTGCACGCAATACTAATCAGAATTTTGCATTAACATTTAATGATATTGTGTGTGTAAATATATATTAATATGAAGTACATTTATATAATTCTTGTTTTTAAAATAATTACATTAATTGTTAACGTTAAAATTTCATTATTTGACCTAATGTTGAAATTTATGTGATAATTATAGTAATAATAATAATAATAATAATAATAATAATAATAAAATAATGTGTATTGGTTATAGACAATTATTGTAGAATTACAATTTATATTTAATGTTTGTAAATTCTAATTAATATACATTTAAATTAAATATCAGTCTTTCTAATTTTGGTTATTTGATGAATGTATGTATTTTATTTCAGTAAAAATTGTGTAGAAGGCTGAACATTGCAATATGCACTTCTGAAGATGTCAGCAAACCAGTGGACTCATCCTGCTCAGCTTGATGTCTATAATGTTGCTTTCTTGTTTCATGCTCATTAATTCTGCTGAATGGTGAGTGAAAAAACCTGTTCTTGTTATAAATTTCATGTCCGTTGTAAAATGCTTTGTGGGATAACATTCAACCTGGTTCAACACTAAGAATAAACATAATTTTAATATTACAACACAAAAACCCTAATTAAATTATTTTAAATTAAATTAAATTAAATTTTAAAAGTTTTCATAAAATAAGGTTTTAATTGAAAATGATTTTAAATAACAGGGTAATACAATGGAGAAATCAAAATAATAAAACTATTTAACTTATGTCATTAATATGACAAAACAATGAACAAAACTATATCAAGTGAAGATAAAATGTATGTGCCTATAATAAAACACACATTCTAAAAAGATTGAGTAGTATTAAAATTGTATAATTTTGATAATATACTGTAAATGTTTGCATAATGCAAAATGATATATTCTAGTGGTTAATTCAGTCCTTCACAAGATACACCCACCCACACACATAGGCTGCTATACACTGGCTAAGTCTCATTATGAGGCTTAGGGAGTGGAGTTGTTTTAGTCATGAGAACAAATCCTGTTGCTGTGACAGGAATTAATCCCAGGACCCTGGGATTAGAATATAAAGGCAAGCATCTTAACTCCACTCCTGTTAGGCAGGTTCCACATCCCAAAAGGATGATTCAATAGGCATTTTTAGGTACTGTAGAAGCTGGGATCTAGTTGATTAAGGGTATTTTGACCTTTCTGATTACGAATCTGGTGGATGCCAAGCGAAATTCTCTCATTTAAGGGCCAAGGTGGCCGCTTTTATGCCAAAGTATCCATTTTTTGGGAAAATCTGTATGCTACTATTAGTCATACAGAGTTCATTTTGGTACCAAACTGTTTGGAAGACTCATGTTTCTTTTAGCTATAATAGAACATTTTCCCTATAAAATAACAGGAAGAAAGTGATTACCAAAAACCGCCATTTTTTGACCAAAAACCCTGTTTTGAAATAATTTTCTTGTGTTTGAGCACTGGAATGTTTCCACTTTGTGGTGACAAATGATACACATAGCTAAAGTGACAATAACAGGCATGAGGGAATTTCATATTTTTTTCGCTTGTCCCCGGACAAGTACCTTTGAAAAATGCACTTGTCCTGAAGACAATTGTACTTGTCCCAATATTATTTTGCAATAGTGTACCGGTAATCATAAAAAACAAAAGTAAAGTATTTTTTCTATGGCACTACAACAGGCCTACATGCATACATTGATCACACAAAAATGTTTTTCTTTTTTTTTTATTTGCACATATATATTTCTCTATAATGTATATTATAGAGAAATGTATCTTTTCCTTATTGCGTGTTTAAAAGCTGTCGTAACGACAACAGCAAGTAAAAATTTCACAGGCATGGTTGATTCCCACGATACACGAGATCTCAGCTACACGCTGACAATACTGTTTTATGCTGTTATGTTTTTTGGTTTGGAGTGGGGGGGAGGGAGTAGTCCCTAAAATTCTTGTCCGACTATAAAAAACACTTGTCCTGGGCGTTGGGCAAGTGGGTTACCTCAGGCCTGAATAATGACAAATAGCACATATTCAAATAAAAGCTCCAATAAGTTATGTATAAATATTTAATTAACTTTAAAATAGCCGGTTTTGGTAAAATTTTGAAAAAAAATCCAGGAAACTTGGTAATTTTGTTAATAATTTTGCAGGATACAGCAGTTGAGTTTGGTTTCATATTACTCAGAAAACATACATTTCTATTCTGTAGTGAAACATTTTCTCAAAAATTACCAGAAAAATAATATTTATTAGGGCAGGTCCAAGATATTTGAAAATTTGTCGTATGGGACATTCAGAGACTCAAATGGTTCTAGTTCAAACACATTAAGACAAATATTTGAGCCTGTTATGCTTTATGTATGTGTCAGAGACGAGCCAAACCAGTCACTCGTTTCAAAAATCAATTTTTAGTTATTAATACAGGGCTAAACAGTAATATGAGAGCTATAAAATGGTAAAAGAATAATTTTTATCCGACATTTCGTTATAAAGTTAATAATAATAATAATAAAAACTTTATTTAACTACGGAAACACTTGTTCACCACAACAGTGTTTTTCAACCAGGCCGTAAGGCATTGTACAACTTGATAAAACAGAGATTAACACAGAAAGTTAAAAATAGACTTATTAAAAAAGAAAATCACACTAGGGCCTACTGTAAGAAACTTAACTACAAACTAAACTGAATTATAATAAATAAACTTATATACTATTATATTTATAAACTATAATACTTTAATTGATTTTTATTTTCATTTTAAAATTTGAAATTGTATTTGAGTTTTTGAGGTCATCACTAAGTTCATTCCATAAGGCTTATAAAAAAAACTTGTTTGTTTGCCGTCATCTGCTGCCCCTAAAATCCCGAAAATAAAGGGCGGTTTTGTTTTTTTCTCTCAAAAAAGTTGTTTTTTTAAAGTTTAAAATATCAAATGAAAACCAATTTTTTGTTGATTTTGGCACAGATCCGTGTTACATGAAAATCTTTATTGTTTAAGGTTTCTTTGTAAACAAACAATTTATCGTTTTTCTGTAAAAAAAAAAAAAAAAGGAAATCGCAGAGTTTTCATGATGTTTCTATGATTTTACAAAAAAAACCCCAAAAAACAGAAACTCTTTTTCCACCCGCCCCTATATTCAAATTTTTACAATGTGACAGCAAACAAACAAGTAATTTTTTAGGCCTAATTTAGCACCTCTGTATGATAAGCTATGTTTTTTATTATCTGTTCTTGGTTTGGGTAGTGTTAAATGATTTTCAGATCTGTTGTCATAGGGACATCACTAAGTTCATTCCATAAGGCCTAAAAAAAAAACTTGTTTGAATTTGCCGTCATCTGCTGCCCCTAAAATCCTGAAAATAAAGGGCGGTTTTTTTTTGTTTTTTTTTTCAAAAAAGTTGTTTTTTTAAAGTTTAAAATATCAAATGAAAACCAATTTTTCGTTGATTTTGGCACAGATCCGTGTTACATGGATCGTGGAGTTTTCACAATGTTTCTATGATTTTACAAAAAAAAAAAAAAAACAGACTTTTTTCCAACTGCCCCTACATTCAAATTTTTACAATGTGACAGCAAACAAACAAGTATTTTTTTAGGCCTAATTTAGCACCTATGTATGATAAGCTACTTTTTTGGTTCCTATGCTTGCAAGCATAGGAACTTTTAAAATCCTGCTCGTATGTATGTAGTATGTACGTTACTAGTATGTTACGCAGTTTTTTGTAAACAGGCAAACGTGACTTTCCAGACATCTGTTTGTTTTGTGTGTCCGTACCCAAGCTGATCTGGATCTTTTGTTGTGCCCTATTTCATAGTTTTCTATTTTGACAAATATTAAAGCCATACTAATGAGAGACAATACCCCCTACTCTTGAAAAGACTAGTAAACTGTATGATAAGAGGAAAACATT